CATTTCTATCCTTATTTCATTGATAATTTCACTTAATTTTCATTTCTCTTCTTCATCCATCTTGGGTCTGTCCTTATTAATCACTCTGGCGACTCTTTCACAATGTTTTCTGTAAATGTGCTTCTTAACACTTTTCCCTTTGGAAGCCTCAGTGTTGCACTTATCCCCCAGCCCTTGCTGTCTTCTCGGGTTGGACAAGATCTGTGACCCTCAAGGAGGACGATGATCATTTGGGACACGTTAGTAGGAAGATCCAGAAAAGCCCCCATCATTGAGCCTACATTCTACATTTACAGTGCCACGTCTCTGAGCTCTTCCCCTTTCTCTCCGACTTACTTCTTCAGTCCCGGTGTGACCTGATGGGACCAAGCTAAAGAGCAATTAGAAGAGAATTTCCCAGGATACTGCTCTGTGAAAGAAGCCTTTGCAAATGCGATTCTCCTGCTGTCTTTCATATGTCCTCGGTTTCCTGTGCGGTATTAAACAGTTAAAGTTAGCAATCACTCTGTTCGATTTGCTCCTCAAAACCTTGTTCCTCCTAGTGTTTAATCCCTTTTCCCCCCTGTGTCAACGACAAACGACACAGGGGAAAAATAAAACTACAAGAGAATCAGACTTGATGGACTACAAGCTGCCGCCTTTTCTTCTTCCTGAGCCTTAGGGCTGGTCTAATTCCTGGGTCTCCGCACATCCTGAGAGCAGGGTACCAGGGATACTAGTGAAAACTCCCATAAGCACGCACCTAGAAGCACAGCAGCCATGGATGACACGGGCACCTTCCCAGGCCAACACAATCCAATTGTGAGCAAGGAGCAGGGAATGGGCCTGGTAACACCAGAACAGTGGGAACCTGTCCTGGGAGCAGGGAGCTGCCTACCCCAGGATACTGCCAAGAGATTCAGTGCAAACGTCAGTGAGTATCTACCTAAGAAAGCAGCCACGGAGAGGAAAAGAGCTGCCATATACCAGATTGCGTGCCATCTTGGGGAGGGAGGCAGGGAAGGAAGGGGAGAAAAATTTAAAACTCAAAGCTTATGGAAGTGATTGTTGATAAATAAAAATAAATGAATAAAAAAAATGGGATATATATATAAAGGCTGCCCCAGCTGCGAGCTCTTTGGAGAAAGGGGAATGGCAGAGAGTGCTATCTCTACGAGGAGCAAGGGATGTGTAAGTTGCCCATCAGTTATTTTTTGATTGAAGAATTACCTTGTGAAAGGCTCTATTTTCTTCTTCCTCTTCATGCTGAGTTTGCTGAATTTAGGGGCTCTTTATTTGAGGTGGTAGGTGGAAAACCACCTCTATGTGACTTCTAGACATGGCATCCTCCCAGGACTGTCAGATCTGGGATTTTGTATATGCTGCTCTACCAAACCTGAAAAGCCTTTCCTCATTCTAGCTGCCTCCTCGAACCCTGAGCTCCCTTCAAGGTTGGGACAAAGTGTTGCCTCCTTCTAAAGTCTGCTAGATAAAATAAAACCTGAGTCTATTTTATATGGAACCAGAAAAAAATCTATAGGGTTTGGGGTAGCCTAAAATTTTGTGAAAGGCAAGCTTTAACCTAGGTAGAAATCTTAGAATAAATCTTTAATAAAATCTCTAGAAATCTTTAATAAAAAAATTGTCATCAGACTCAAAAAATCCTGATGCTGTGACTACAGGACAGCAGAGAGAGAGAGCATGACTCAGAACTGAGCTGCTCAACGTACTATTACTTTATGTTGGTCATACGGTGTCCAAAGGTTACTCTTTAACACACACACTGGAAAGTACATAGTCTCACAGAACAAAGAAAATCAGCTGACACAACCTGACACTCAGAAAGAATGATAAACTGCAACACGCTACAAAAATAAACCCACAAAAAACAAACACCCTTTCTATGCAGTAATTAACAAAATCCAGGAGGAAATAAGAGGAAGGGAAGTCCCATTCAAAATAACTACAAAATTCAAATAAGTGGTATTTGGAAGGCAGGAGTGTTTGGGGGGAAAAGATTAATTTAGTTTCGAATATACTGAGTTTTAGATGTCACCAGGGCATCCAGTCTGAAATGTCCAAGAGACAAATGGTTGTATGTGTGTGTGTGTGTGTGTGTGTGTGTGTGTGTGTGTGTGAGAGAGAGAGAGAGAGAAAGAATAGTCACAGAAAGAAGAGGAGAGGAAAGAGGAGAAGGAATAGAAGAGGAGAGAAGAGAAGAGAAGAGAAGAGAAGAGAAGAGAAGAGAAGAGAAG